GCTTGTAACGGTTCGTCACAAAACAAAGCATCCTCATGATATCATCAAGACGAAAAAACGGTAGTTTGCGCGAGAGCAATTAATAATTCATCATGGTCCATAACCTGGCTAGCGGTTACTTCCCATCCAGTCCTTAATCATCTTCTTGGATGACTATGAATCCATGATAGATCGATAGAGGCAGGTACTGTTAGCTAGCTGGACCTGGTCACACCTCTTTGCGCTTCAACTTGCGTTTCAACTTCTCAACTTCAACTTCAACTTCTCGACATGCACTTCCGATTTACTCCTAATGAAAAAACATGATGCCCTGCCTGTGAATGAATGCAATAATACCCGCGCATGAATGAAACAACCGCACCCAAACGCATCTTCTTTAAGCATCTTTTGAGCATCTTTTGAGCATCTTTTAAGCCAGTCCCTGAGGACCAAGCCTCTATCAGTCCATAGACCTATAACTTCTTGAATCTTGAAATGCAATGATATAACCATAACTCCTGGTGACATTTTGACCAGTTCCACTTCAAGCTTTCCTTCATGCTTTCTTCGTCATCCTTCTTCAAGTCCATCTTCAAGTCCAACTCCAACCAAATCAACAAGACAACACGTTTGGTCCATTTAACTCACTCCTCCATCCATAACCCATGACCCGTCCAAGGCATCTAGCCCTGCTGCGTACCTTGCGTCTGCGTACCTCCCAAAACAGGCAACACAGCCGGGATATCCTCCATATCATCCATATCACTGCTAATAACACTGTAACTTCTCGAACCAGTGTCCATGTCTTGCTGCACCTTCCAGTCCTTTTCCCTATTCAGCTTGTCCTGCGCCTTATCAACCTTTTCCGCCACCTGACTCACATCCACATCCACAAAGGAGCCCTAGTCTTAACCAGCGGCCTCGGCGTTCCCGCAACACTAACAGCCGCAGAAGCAGAAGCAGAAGCCGCAGCCAGCTTCTTGCGCACCTCCTTCGCCTTACTAGCCACCTTCTTCTCCCTACCTACGCCTCCAACGACATCACCCGGTCTGTCGAGGGAAACCAGACTGTCGTCGGCTAGGTTACCGTCCAGCTCTACCAGCTCTGAGTCAAGCTCATGGAGTAAGTGATTTGGTACTGCCGATGCGACTCCAACTGCTAACTCCGAAGAATCTGCTTCTCCATTCCCGAGAGGAGTCGGCTTGCGCCGCTTACTAGCCTTAGCCACAGAAGCGGTAGTCTTGATGATCGTCTCTGTCGTTCTCACAGATGGCTGGCGCGTGAGGATGCGACGTTTTCTGTTATGTTGACTTTGACTAGCGGTAGGGCATCGGAGTGGTCAGATTCGTCGTTCTCGTTGATGGTGACAGATGGATGGCGGGCGGAGGCGGGACGTTTGGGGCTCAGCTGGGGATGGTTATGACTTGCTGTGGAGAGAGAAGTAGATGTCGGCGGCGGGAGGGAGGGAATCGGGACGGCAGCGCCGAGGACGAGAGGGACGTCTAGGTCGAGATCCTTTTCTTTGCGCTTGGATTTGGTGGACTTGGAAGATTTGCCGTAGGTGCGGACTGCGGCCTTTTTGGATGCCTTGAGGGCGGCGGCTTTGGATGTGGTGGCGATGATATCCTCGTCGTCTTCGTCGTCGGAGTAGTCTTGACGTTTCTGGGCGGAGGTGGGAAGTTGCGGGCTTGAGATGAAGGAGGATTCACCGAGGTCGACGCTAGCAGCTCGACTGCGAACGACGGGCGCTGATGGTGCTGGCTCATCTTCCTCGTCATCAACATCGGGAGCGTCGTCCATGTCAAAGTCTTGGTTGCCATTGCCGTCGACGGCGGGGATGTCTCCATTGATGCTCTCTTCGACCTCATCCTCATCGGAATCCTCGTCTTGGACAATAGCCTCCGAAAGGTGTGACTTCTTTGACTTGGAAGACGCCTTCTCCGACTCCTTCAACCGCTTTGCGCGCTGTCTCGCCCGCTGAGAAGTCCGGCCACGCATCTCATTGTCTGAAGATTCGGCAAACACATGGCTGGGATTGGACTTGGTTTCCTTTGGGGTTTCCCACAGGCCGACTCTGGGCGTGCGGTAGATCTTGGTCTGCTGCGTAGACGAGACCACCACGGAAGCAGGTCTGCTGACGGTAGATCTGGCATCGGCATCGGCATCATCTTCCGCATCATCGTCACCACCGCCGACTCCCTCGTCGCCCTTCCAGTCGGCGTCGCGCTCGTACATGTCGCAGAGATATTTGGCGCACTCTTGGGTGGATCTGGATTCCCATTGCGGCACGGCTTGTCTCAGACGACCCCAGGTGACTGTCAGCGCAGTCTTGGCGTACTGCTTGTCGAAAACGTCCTTCTGGATTTCCTTCCACTTGATCTTATTCTCGCGGTCGACACCAGAATCGCGGATGGCACGCGCCAGAAGGGCCTTGTCTTCGGGTGTGATCTTGCGCAAGTCCTTGCGAGCCTTGTCCAGGCGAGAGGATTCACCATCGGGAAGTTTGACCATGATGCTATCGGGCAAAGCCTCGTTCTTGCGCAGCGTCTTCCACTTTTGGAGACACTGAAGACGAGTCCGGGTGTGGTTCATGGCCGTGCTGATCTGCTGCCAGTTGATGAGGCTCTCTGGCGATTCGTCGTCGGACCTTTTCTTGTCCTTGGCCTGGCTGGCTTTGATCTTGTCAATGGCCTCGGCAACCACCTTGAGGAATTTTTCCTCCTCGTCTTCGGACCAGTAGTCTTTTCTGTTCTTGCCCCCGCAAGCCAGATAGTTTCTGTACCGATCACGAACATCGTCCGCGAAGCGATTGATGAGACCACCGATCAACGTCCACTTTTGGCCGTGGATCTTGAGCATGCTCTCCAGCTGCTCGTCCTGCTCCTTGGTCCATGAACCGCGGGCAGGGAAGTTGTGGAATTGCTGCCTGCAGTAGTTAACCACCTTTCTTCGTGGCCGGTCGGGGCAAGCATCAGCAATGAGACCCCAAAGCTCGCGGTTCTTCGCCTCCTTTCGTGGATCTTGGTGAATCATCTCGTTGACCGCATGCTTGGTGAGTCCATTGGCCTCTCTGAAAGAGTCGATAACCGACTTTATGCGAGCATGTTCGGTCTTCGTCATGCGACCCTGTGCCTTGGCCGTCTTGGAGTTATCGCCAGCTTCCTCCATCTCAGAGTTGTCTTCTTCGGAATCGGCTTTCTTAGCTGGCTGCTTCTTCTTTGTGCTGACCTTGGCCTTCTTAGGCGCTGGCTCGACGTTGGCAGTGCCCTGTTCGTCCTCAGCCGGTGCTTTACGCTTCTTCTCCCGCTTTTGCTCCTTTTGGGTGGCAGCAACTTCCTTGACGGAAGGCTCAGCAGACTTCTCGGCGTTATCGCGTGTTTCGACAACCTCCTCACGTTCAAAGTACGGGACCTTCACCTTTCGCTTCGAGCCCTTGGAGCGCGGCGTCTTGGTTGTAGATGTCGGCGCAGGAGTGGCTGCCTCGGTTTGCTCGACTTGTTCAGGCTCGGCGTGGGGTTGAGCTGGTGCTTTCTTGGTGCGAGACTTGCGAGCCTTGGGAGCAGGAGTCTGGGTGACCGATACCTCAGGGGCAGACTCTTGGGCGTCTTCGACCTCGGCAGCGGCATCGACTTCCATACTTGGTTCTTCGTTGTTGGCCACTGGTTGGTCGATATCCATTTCGTGATCAGAGTGGTTGTCAGGTTCAGGATCTCCAGCAGAAGAAGCAGTCTCCCCGTCAGCTTTATCCGCCTCGTTCTCGTCCGCATCAGGCATGTATGCCTCGTTGGCATGACCATACTCTGGCTCGTCATCGTCCATGACACCATCGCGCATGTTGACTTCCCACATCCTGCTGTTGACAGCTGGGAGGCCGTCGGTACGAGGTCGCTGGGAGCTGTGAGCAAAGCCCTCGAACTGCCCTTGAGAGCTTGGGGGCAAACCATCGGCGAAACCCTGGGTGTTGGGAAGGCCATCGATCTCGTCGCCCAAGTCCATTGGCCGAATGACCGAAGCAGGAATGCGGGTGCTGTTGAAGCTTTCATCGTAGAAGCTTAATGACTGCTGGGTAGCAAATTGTGGTACGAGAGAAGCGCTTGAAGCGACCTCGACAGGATGTTGCGAAGCAGAGCGAGCCCTTCGTCGCTCACGGGCCACAAGGGGTGATGTGTGTTCATGACCACCAACCATGCTTGGCTCATGCTCGTCGGCTCCGGGTTCTCTCTTGACGAACGAAGCATCAGCCTCCCCATGGTCGTACTCGTCGTCCTCTTCGGCAACAGGTTCGGGTGACAGTCTTCGCCTCTTGACATGGTGCTCGGAACTGGGAGCCTCGCCTCTGTGAATCTTTGTGGTTCGCTCGACACTGTCCTCGCCATCGCTAATGAGGTCACCTGAGATGTCGACAGTGACCTTCTTGGACTTGCGGCTCTTCTTCTTGAACTTGGCAGATCCCTGTGCATGTGGTTCGGGTTCGGCGACTTCAGGGCGTTCGAACTTGAGGTGGGGTGACTCGTGGTCGGGCTCGGCTTGTTGTTGTTCTTCCTCTTCGAGCTGGGGTTCAGGTTCAGGCTTGGACTTTCTCTTTTTCTTTTTCTTCTTCTTGGGCTCCTCTGTTTGAGGCTCCTGTTCCTCGATCGTGGCGAGTTCGGGGTCTGCGATTGTCGAGTCTCGGTGGTGGTGAGAATCGCCGTTCAGCTCGGGCTCAGCAGCAGAAGGGGAGGACGAGCGTCGGTCCTTGCTCTTCTTCTTTTTCTTCTTTTTCTTGCGCTCGCCAGAGGGAGGCGCGACAGGTGATTGTGGTTGCTCGTCGTTATCGAACCGCTGGCCGTAGGGGACGTCGGGAATGGCATCGTAGCTCTCGTTATTTTCGTATTTGCCCCAGTGGTGGTTGTTGTTGTTGTTGTTGTTGTTGTTGTCACCCTGGACCAAGGGCGAGGCTGATCTGCTTCTGACGTCGCCATCTTCGCCTTCCGGCACACTTTGTTGACTGCCCATCTTTTTTATTGCTTCAGGATTGATGCGCTAGTCGGAGAGACAATGTGTGCTCAGATTGATGTTGACATGCTGGTATGCGCCGATTGATGTCGAGCAAGAAAAGTGGCGGCGAGAAACAGAGGATGACCTCCCGGTGTTGTATGGGGAATTGGTGGTACTTGATGCACACGTCAAGGGTAGGTGACGGAGAATTGGTGATGTGCGTTTTTCGTTGCCGTTCAAACGCGCCGCGTTCTTTTGTGAAAAAAGGCCCACCTCCAAAAAGGTCCAGTGAATTGGAGATTGCGGGGGAGGAGAGAGTGCACGAGCCACCAGACAATTGGCATTGGCACCAAGTCGGCAAGTCCCGACACCATCCGGCAGGCAGACCCCTGACCTAAGCGAATAAAGTAGCGAGCTAAGTGCTAACGCCATAGGCCCTGAGTCCACCCGGACTCGACGACATCCTGGCCACGACTCCACAATCCAACTTGAACGACAATGTCAATGTCAACAACTCCAACCAAGAAAACAACCAGGCTACCAAGCAAAGCAACAACCTCAAGCTCCCGCCTGAGTAACCGAGTTCACCAAGTGCACCAAACGAAGCGAATTTTTTCTCTGTGTTTTGTGTTTTTACGTTTTTTTCTTATCAATTCTTTCACGCACGCCATCTTCCCCGTCATGCTGTCTTCATGTTGTCTTCATGTTGTCTTCATGTTGTCTTCATGTTGTCTTCATGTTGTCTTTCCATCAGCAAAAGAGCAAGGTAAAATATGAAAATGAAAAGGCATTGATACTCGGACACGGGCTCTCATTGAAACCCAGAAATGCATAGCCTGCATATGTAGAGGTCTTATGTATGCCTCGGAACGTCTTTGGTTGCGTCCCCTTACTCTTCCCTTTTCTTTCCAAACAAGTTCGCCAGCGACTTTTTCTTCTTCAGCTGCTTCTGTCTTTGAGATCCACCGCCTGCTTGATTCACTGCTGCATCATCGTCGTGGTTGTCATTGTCCTCGTTAGTAGGGATGGGAGGTATCGGAATGGAGGGAATTGGAGATGTCCCAGACGTAAACGTGGGGAGCGGCGGAACGGGGGGAATATCGGGGTGACGAGGGGGACCACCGTCTCTGGTGGTGACTGGGCTCAAGCTATTGGTGGTGGAAAAGGAAGACGAGGCTTCCCGCCGAAGGTTGCCGCGAGATCTGGTTCTCAGCCTGCTGAAAACGGTTCGCACCCTTTCTATGGCCGAAGGCTCTTCCTCGGTGTCTGAGCTCCAGTATGACCTGGGCTCTTCTGCTGGTTCACTCCTTGGTCTCTCGGGCTGGTTGGGGTCTCTGACCGTCACCATGGCAGGACCTCTCTCGCGCATCTCCACTCGGATTTCAGGTCGCGGTTGCGGTTGAACTTGAGGCACACTTGACGCCGAACCACGGGATCCACGCGAACCGCGCGAACTACGGCCACGGCCACGACCACGACTACTTGAGCCAGAAGGAAAGGAAGGACTGGTGAAGCCTGGCGTCGGTGGGGTTGGTGAACCCATCATTCCCGGCGAGGTTGGAGAGCCAAGGAACAAGGTTGCCATCGAGGAACCGCTGAGTTGGTGGGAGCCGCTGCCGCTACCCCTCCCAGAGCTCGTTGGCGGAGAAGTGATAGTGGACGGGGGGAAAGTGCCTAGAGTCTGCGTCCTCGAACGAAGTCCATGTCCTGGGCGCAAGGCCGCTCGCTGCTCCTCGTACCTGTCTTGAGTGCGGCCAATGTATGTCCGAATGCCGGCGTGAAACTCATCTTCACCTTCAGTCGGGGCACCCATCGGCCTAGGCGCGGACACTGATCGCATGCCAGTCCCAAAACGAGAGGAGTTGTTGCCGCCGATAGCACCACCGAAAGTAGTCGACATAGGCAGTCCAGGTCGAGGAAGGGCCTGAGTGGCCGAACGGGCAAAACCACCAGGTATCGGCGGAGGCGAACTAAGTGGCATGGGCGGCGGGACAATGGCATGGGTCGCCGACCGTGTAAGACCACGGCTGAGTCCTGAACCAGAACCAGAACCGGATTCAAGAACGCCAGGGGATATCGGACCAGAAGTGCTTGCCTCATCAATGGGAGGAATGATCGCATCGTGTGCACCCGAAGACACTGGAAACTCGACGCCAGCTCCTGACGCATAAGGAGGGCGAGTTGTTGTTGTGGGTGTGACACCAACGGTAACGGACGAAACGAGGCCACCATCACCAGACGCAGAAGCAGAAGCTGTACCACCAGGCCTCGGGCTTCGCGTGCTTGAACCACCATCAGGACGTAAACCATACGGCGGACGAGGGAAGGTATAAAGGTTAGGGCGTTGGCGTTCTGGTTGCGGTTGCGGCTGGGGGCGTGGTGAACTGGTACTGGTGACGGCTGTCGAGCCTCGTCTCATGGCTGGCGCACGACGAAGACGTAGCGGCGCAACTTCCGCAGTCATTGGCTCCAGTGTGGTGGTCGACCCGTGCACCGGGTCTTCCACGAGACGGTCCATAGCAGGACCCTCCTCCCGTGAGGGCACACCTTCGCCAAAGTCTTGGAGGATGGCGCTGTTATCGATGGCGAAGCCAGCCTCCTCGGCTAACTAGGCCAAGGGAATACTGCTTCGGTCCATCATGGCGACGTCGTGCTGAACCAGATCGTCGTTGGTGTCGGCAGGAGGAAGGAGAACCTCCTCCTGTTCCTCGCCTGTAGTGCGGGCCGGCCGAGCGGTCCTTTCCGAGTTTGCTGAGGAGGATGGCGTCGGGGAAGAAGAAGCCAGCCGAGACCAGGCCTCTCCACCCAACATATGGGGAACCATCCCCCAGCGTCGTCGGTCGCCTTGAACAAAGCTGGTTTCGCCGTATGCTACCCCGAGAGCCGTGGCATCACTACCCCGATGGCGGGTAGGTGACTCCTCTGCGTGGGCGCGCTGGTCGGCGGCACCATACTCGTCCGAGGCGGTAAAGGACCTGCGCAGGTTAGGTGTTCCAACCAGTGAAGAAGAGGACGTAGCCGAGGCGACAAGCACAGGAGAAGAAGCAGCAACAAGAGGTGGTGCCGGCGAGCTATCCCTGATTGTGGAAAGGCTCGGAGCGTAAAGACGCGGACGACCACCACCATGACCTTGTTGCACTTGCACTAGCGACTCCCTGCTGTCAGAGTCCTCGTAGTTACTCTCCTCCACGTCTCCCTCGTACTCCACGTCTTCCACACCAACGCACTCTCCCAATTGTACCTGGGTGCCACCCAATGGCACAACGCTTTGCCCCGGGATGGGCGGAAGCGGCCTGTTGGGCGGCGGTGGGAAACCAGGACGGTCGGCAGCTAGGACCACCGAAGGGGAGCGGTTAATGCGGAGCGGAGGGACAGGCGGAATGTCCTCGAAACCGGGACCGCCACTCAAGCCAGAGACCGCCGGCAAGTTGAGCGGGGGCGGGAAAACCGGAGTCGAACGAGGGGGTTGGGAACAGCTTTCCCGCTGCTGCTGCTGCTGCTGCTTGATTCTGCGCTTTCCACTCAAGGAGATATCCAAGAGGCGCGCCGGATTCCTGGGAGGAACAGGAGGGGAAACAAAAACAATATCAACAACCTGTGGACTGGACGAATTGGGAGGTCCCTCAACCTCCCCCCTCTCTCTAGACGAGGAGGGCCGCGCTCTGATTTCGCCAGGAGCCACAGGCGTTGTGGTTGCTGCTGTTGTTGTCGTGCTTCGGCCGCGGGTGCCAACCGCAGCGTCCGCCCCAAGGAAATTCTGTCCGCCCGCCGTATTAGTACGAATACCAGCCGGACCGGGCACGCCACCATCCAGCTGGGTAACTGGCAAGGTAGTGGTAGCAGAAACAGAGGAAACCGATCGATGTTGCTGCTGCTGCTCCTCGGGTTCATCGTCTGACGCGATCGTAGTCGCCGACTTCTCCCTCTCGCTAGCAACTGCAACATCGAATCCACCGGTGGGGTGAGTCTTCGTCCTGTTTTCACAAGACACCTCGACCGTCGCAGCAGGAGCTGCTGCTGTCATAATCGATGTCTCCCGCGGGCTGTCTACGGAACAAGAGGGAGAAGAAACGTTGTCATCCGCTCCTTCCTCCTCAACTTCCTCGGCTAAAAAAGACACGGGTTCTTCGTCGACAACGGCAGCGGCAACGGCAGGAACGCGAACAGCAGCATCAACATCATCATTCCGGGCCATCATCAACATCACCCCCGACGGACGACCCTGCTCCTCCTCGGCATTGAAGAAGGCCTCAACAAAGAAGCCCTCATCTCCGCCCACTCGGAGAGGGGGGGCCGGGACCGCCGCCACGACCACGAGGGGGATAGTCGAAACCGCCGCTGTGCGGCGGTGTCCCAGAATGTGCTGCATACCCCAGGGAGAGGGCTGCTGCTGCTGCTGTGTGCTAGCGACGACCTCCTGGATGAGAGAGGAATGAGAAGAAGGGGACAAAGCTTCTTCTTCTTCTTCATCATCACCTGTCGTCTCCCCCCAAGAAGAACTCGAGTTCTTCGTTGGTTGTCTCGTGTCTGTTTTTGGGAAAGAAAGGAAATGGTTAGCTGTTTTGTTCTCATGACTCGAAAATGTTTGGTGCTTCGCTTGAAGGGCAGATGTTTGGTGCTTCGCTCGAAGAATCTGGTGCTCGCTTGAAGGGCAACGTTGTTGCTTTGCCAGCTTGAAAGCAAACAAAGACAGTCTCGTCCCAAGTCCCAACTCCCAACCCCCATATCCCCTATGAGCTATGGTACCACAGAAAACATGGCCACAGACGCGATACGATCCAAGTTACAACCCACCCCATTCCAAAGAGATATCATCCCGCTCTACCAAGAGACGCGAACTCATACTTCTCGTCAAGGGCGGATATATCAAGGGCATGGCCTGTCCTTCCGTCCGTATCCTTTCTGTAAAGCAGGTAACTCGCCACACTCTTCATCCAGGTCCAGTTAAATGGAAGTCTGTCCTAGCCTAGCTAGAGCTCCTGGCCTGACCGGGCTGGATGGCAGCGAACCTTACACCAGAAACAAAGGACATGACGAAAAAGAAAGGACAAGGATACAACGAGAACAAAGAAGGGGAACATGACCGAAGGGGAAAAAAGAGATGAAGGGCAAACAAGAATCCACTCGAACTCATACTCGAGAAGTAGGTACTTACAATCCATAATACGACGAGCTACCAGCACCCTCGACGATGCTCTCACCATCATCGAGAGGCTCTTCCGGCACTGACTCCAAGCCGAAGTTGCCCTGACCGCCACCCGAAGGCAGCGCGGACGCCAACAACGACGAGGAGACCAGTCCAGGTCTGGTGGTGCCTGCGCGAAGGGCACTGGGAGCGGCGGCGGCGACGACAGGAAGACCACCGACGCAAGGGTGGACGGGTACCGGGATGCGGCTGCGGGTGAGGTGGCCGGGGGTGCCGTCGTCGGGCGTCGGGGTCGGG